AGATCCTGAAACACACAAGAAGAGGGATAAAAGGTTATAGAAGAATTAAGAGACTTGGTTAATCTACTAACAGACATAAGGTTAAAGGGGAACTTGGGAACATATAAAACAGATGATAAAGACAAGGAGGAGAGATCAACATCATCAACACCATAGATGGGAGATGTAGAACTATTAGCAAGTGTAACTATTTGAGATGTGGAGGGCTGAGAAAGGGAAGAAAATACATTAGGAGTCCCAAACATATGGTCTGAGGCTCCGGAGTCAATGATCCAGTGTGGGGAATTGGAAGCCAAGCAAGCCATACCTGAATGGGCAAGGGTAGCGGTGTTCTGCTGAGATGTCTGAAGGAACTGCTCATATACTCCATGGGATACACTCACCATCACCTTCCCAGAAGCACTAGTAGATGTGGAGGGAATCGGGTCAGTTTGTTGGCTCTCAGTAATTGTACCACTACCCTTAGTCATAGCATGGTTAGCCCAAGTGTTGGGTGGACCACGTAAATCATAGCAGAAATTAATTGTGTGCCCCTCTAAGCCACAGTGTGTACACTTCCTAGGGGCATTACTTCTTCCTTTACCACGACCTCCCCCTGAGTCTCGACCTCCACTCCRGCCACCAGYACGGTTAAACATGGGACCACCACGGTTGCCTGGAAGTCCACTACTACCACCACCACCTCTATTTCCACGGCCACCCCCTTTAGTCACCACGAAACCAGATCTGTCYGAGAGWGAGGAATGCTCTACAGACTCAATAGATGTCCTCTTAAGACGGGCAAAAACTTCTTCAAGTGAGGGAAGAGCAGACCCCCCCAATATTTGTGCTCGGACATGCTCATACTCAACCTTCAAACCCACCAGAAACCTTGTCACATCAAGTTGTTCACACTACTGTTGTTGAATCTGAACATCTGATGTCAGAGGATGATACACATCGAGCTCATTTCGGATATTCCTCAGGCTTGCATAGTATTCCTCCAAGCTTTGATTGCCTTGCTTCAGATTAAAGTACTCTTGGTACAACTGATACACCCTAGTTGTATTGTCTTGTCCGGAGTATAGCTTCTTAGCAT